GGTACAGATGACGAGTCGGAATTCTCGACACAGCCCCACTCAGCCGCCGTTAGCACTACTAGTCATTCTCGGAAAAGGGGTCGCACCGAATCAAGCACTTCTTTGACAGGAAGTGTAGCCAAGCAGTCTCGTCTGATAGGTATGTGTTCGCGCGAATTATAGTCTGTTTCAAATCACCGATAAATTATATTCAGTCCCGCACTCTGAATTCTCTCTCTCAACTCGTCGTGGCATGGTTGTGCAGAAACGGAGCGAGATGACATTCAAGAAGATCAATTGCATCATTACGATCGCAACTGGAGAGTGCAGCTTAGTTAACACTGGTGAAGTCCACCGTGGATATATTTTGGACAAACCTTTCGCCAGCGGGCGGATGAAGCATGCATATGATGTAAGTTTCTCAACGTTCTTTTGCCAAATTAATTGATACTACCTAAATATCTAGTTCCAACTCACCAACGATGAGCAATCATATGTTGCCAAGCGTTTCTACAAGCTGAACGAATACGATGATGATGATAGTGTTCCAGTCGACAAGAACAAAGTGGAGATTCAGGGCGAGCTCATCCGACTTGCCTTAGGCAAATGGTTCCTCAACTGTTTTTATCGATTCTGCAAAACCTACAAAGATTCAGTTTCTGTCGACTTGAGTACGCCCCCTCCGTCCGTCCTGATATAGATCAACGACTTAACTAATTATATTTTTTGTAGATATCGCATTCGCCGATGCATTTTTGGCCCTCGAAGTTGATCGGCCCTCGACTGCATCTGGTGTTCCAATTATCACTGATGAAGATGAGGGACTGACATGGTTGATCGAGCGGAAGCGCCCATCTACTGTTATCAAGTTCAGTGGTACTTTGAACCACCGTTCGGCTCGCAGGGATATGCGCAGTGCGACTATTTCTGCCTTAGCTCATTTCGTGTTTGGTTATAGTAAGCATGAGCTTGTGTTTGCCGACCTGCAGGGTACGCAACATTATTTCTTCCTTTTTTTGTGATATTAACTTGAAGTCGCCAGGAACTCCATGTCAACTCCAGACGAGAGATGGTGTAGGGAAGGATGGACTCGTTCTTTTTGATCTCATGACGCATACCAGAGCCGGGTGAGTCAGTTAATATTGAGGTATGGAATACTGATTTATTTTTTCTGCAGGGATTCAGGTGTTGGTGATTTCGGCGAAGAAGGAATTGAAACCTTCGTCAAAGACCATAAGTGCAACGAGATTTGTCATGGGCTCGTGTTGCATGAGGCGTACCCACTTGTGATGGAGGAGAACGGTCAAGAGGACGGAGAAGACGGCACCAAGGACAACAACGACAAGGAAGAGAACAATGGAGATGACGAGTCGCCCGAGCGGCCCATTCAAGTTCATGATTAAGGACTACTACTTCGCTCTTATTACCAGTCGTTACTGCAGAAATTTGAATATCATATTTGCTTTCCTTTGCGATGTAAGAAGACATTAGTAGCAACAAAACTATTGTTTCGTCCTCCAGTCCTAATCTGGACACCGGTGAACTCAAAATTGCCCTATGTTCTGTTTCCGCGTCCTTCGGGGACCGAAAACCAGAACATAGGTAAGTTGTTGAAACATCGAGAGCTCGAAAAAAAGGTGAATATATATTTATTGGCGTACATTGGTTACTGCTTATATCTACCCAAAATGTAGCTGATTTAGGCGACCCAGGGTTGGGGAGCGTGCTCGCGCATTCGATTAGGTATGACTGCAGTCCGCAATTTGTCCATGAGGTTCTCGGTATTAAACAATGAACACCGTGTGGCCGTCCTCCAAGTTGCAGCGGCTGGTCAGCGCTGGACACAGAATAATAAATAAATGCAAGGTTGAAGCATGGGAAGACGCACCAGTGCCCTCGTACACCTCCCACCCGATGTACTCATCCCTGCACGCCTTGCCGAACCCTTCGCAACACGCTTTGTGGCCCTGGGCACAGCGGGCGAAACACATGTAGTTGATCCACAAGTTGGAGTATCGCTTCTTGCGTTCGGTGAGCTCATCTTAGTTTATGGACCCGCTGCCTTCCTTGGCCTCGGTGCCATTGGGGTCGGCCTGAGCGGGTTCTTCGACGGGCTCGTCAGCGGTGGGGGCAGGAGCGGCGGGGGGCAGACAGGTGTGCGAGATTGGCACGCAGCACGATGCTGAGTATTTCTGTCATGTACTGCAAACCTTTCAGGCCCACACTGAAGACGAGATAAGGTGGCAGCAGAAGGGAACTCGTTGTTGAGGAGCCCGCACTTGTGTTTCCAGAGGTGACGGCAGTCAGGGTGAACGGCAATGGCGGCAGTGGCGGTGACAGCGGCGGCGACGACAACGACGGCGGCGACGTGATCAACGGCGAGGGACGATAACAGTGGGAAAGACAGCAAAGCACCGGATAATATCGGAACGAGTAGCCGAACCGCGTGGCTCGTTTTGAAATCGAACCGCGTAGCTCTCGCCTACCGTAATGTTTTCAAACTCGAACCTAAGCTCACTTCTACAACATAATATATTATTTGGTGACTCTGTTCCATTGAACCAAGTTGAAAGTGATGTGGTCTGTTGGTACCTACCTGGTCCTACTTTGTGGATTGTTTAAAACATACTATCCCCCCTGGGGACCTCGGACACCTAAACAAAATTGATGAATATCTCCTTTTCTAAGGGGTTTCACAAGGATCCGAGTACACAGATCAATTGCAATCCGTCTTTTACATAGGCTGCATATAAAGTTTTTGAGGTCGAGGATTAGCCATAAGGGGGAAGGTTATCCACCTCCTGGCCGATCTCTCTTAGAGTTTGGACCGTAATATTAGAGTCAATACCACTATATAAGTCTCCCTGGACCCGCTGGATTAATCTGATCAACTGAACCCGTAGGGCCGTTCGAGCCTTACACTACCTGGTCCTACTCTGTGGATTGATTACAATGATTTCAAGCATAAGTCATGAGCATCCACCTCCACCGACTCTGTTCCTTTACTCCGTGGATAGACTACAATGATTTCTGGCATGTGACCAAGTTCGGTAGTCTCCCTTTTTTGCCTAGTGAATTGAGCCCTTTTGACTTAGCACAGTTCAACGATTTTGTGGTTCCTTGACCTCAATTAGCTCAAGATGGCTAAGGCTTTCAACACACCAATGGTGAAGTGGTTATTATGCTTGCTGTGGGCCGGCAGTGCAGCAATGAAAAGTAATCACAGCAATGTTGAAAAAGAAGGTGGAATGGCTGCTGCTACTTTACACTTATACAGCTACTACCTAGATTTGAATCAACTCATGCAATTAGTCTCGTTCAAACCGAATTGAACCAGTTCAAGGTTCGGAAATGCTCTGAACCTAAACCCATTTGGCTTGAGTTTGGCAAAGACCAAAAATTTCCGTGAATGTGTTTGAACCCAGACCAGCTTCTCCAACACATTTTGGCCAGTCTTTTGGTTACATCAGGTTAAAAATTTCTTCTCACGCATTATAATGGCTTTTCAACAATTTGAAGGTTTGCCTTTGGTAAGTACAATAGATGGAGAGTCTCCGAAATTTTTAGACCATTGGAGTGGGGCGAGCGGGTCCAAGGCACCGGGAGGGTGCAGGGAGCAGCGGCACGGGTGGTGCGTGGAGGTCGCGGTCAAGGATGCATGATCTACACTATGACACTGATGCCTAACACGACCACACAGGCCCTCGGCCCGATCCCCGTCTCTGAGGACCAGTCCCACTGGTCCACCATCTTTATGCAGGTAAGAGGCAATTCGCTGGCATTTGATGGAAAGAAGATGTCTGAACCTGAGGTTCAGGTTCAACTTCAACTTCTTCAGTTGAGAAATTATGTGCCTCAAACTACTGTACTCAACTATTGAATTTCATCTCTTGCCCTCATACCACTTCACTCTCCACTAGTAGTACCACTTGACATCCTCAACGGTGATACTGTTGAATTGCGATAACTGAGACCCTCACTTGCCCAACATGAAATATTATTTGTTGTGACTGTGCCACTGTTCCATTGCATCACGTTGGAAATGGTATTCATTGGTGCCATCATACCTCTGGTGGTCTGCTAATGTAATCGTGGAATTTTGGCTCCAGTCGGAATGTTCCAAGCGAGGGGGGGATTGAAATAGGTTGGGTTACAAACCAGTGAGGCTTGTACTACAGGTGAACTACCTTTATATACATGTAGCTAAATCAAATAGATAATGTGATGCCATGGTGCATCGGTGTTCGAGGAGACTTCGGCCAGGGGTGAAGTAAGTAGATTGAGGGTGCTGCCAACTCAGGCGCACTCCTCAGACCCGTAGAGAAAGATAGCGAGAGTAAGAGGGAGTGGTCTCCCAATACAATGTGACCCGTCGCCGGGATCCTGTCACCCGGGACCGGGGATCTCGATGGCACCGAGTCGGGTGGAGCAGTATACGGATGCTCAGCCATCGGGTGCGTCCTGGGCGTTGGCCTTCGGCAGTAGCGCTGCCGCTCGTGTTTGTCTAGCCATACATCGAAGTCGAGAGTAAAGATAGATAGATTATGTAATCTATCGACATGTAATTATACAGTGCACACGTGGGAATACAAGTGAGTAATGGGCACTAGGCCGTGTAAAGTAAGTAGAAATATGTAGGTGTCACAGATAAGGAATATCAAATAGGACAGTCAACATGAGTCAGACTATGAAATATAATAATGTGAAGGCATGGTAACAGATAACGAACCACATGCTCACCATATGCAAACCGCATGGTCAAGCTTGTATTTCCAACAGTAATCCCCACTCCATGGGTTGATTCAAGCACACAAGTTGATTTCACTTCTGCCGACTCTGCTCGTACTCCCTGGACTGACTATGCAATCATGTGACCAAGTTTGGCAGCTCCTTTTCAGTGAATTGATCTCCTTTCGACTTGGTGCAATTTTGCCAATTTGTTGAGCCCCATTCAACTTGATGCAATTTAACGATTTGTGATGCTTTAAGGACTACATGCTCAAGATGGGCATGCTCTCAATACACCAATGGTGAAGCGGTTATCATGCTTGCCTTCCACGTGACGCGTTGATTATATAATCGCTCGTAATACCGTTAGCAAGCGGCAGGGGTTCGACTCCCCTTTGGTGTATCATTTTGCTTTGGCTCATTTCGCTATTTTGTTTACCCTTCGTTGTAAATTCCCTCACTCATCTTCTGCTGATATCCATAGCCTCCCTGTCCCTACTACACCTTTCTGATCCAGTGATTATATGTTTAAGTGGGAGGAGGAAAAACCCTGTCCCAGGTTATCACAATTTGCAATGATAATGTTTGTCCCTGAGGGAAAAAAGACAACAAGTCTGAGCCTGCATGAATGCGAGTTCAAGCCAGGCTACTGGCAGCATTTTATCCTACTTGAATACCAGTTAGAGACCCTCAGAAGGGTGAATAACATTCATTTGCAACCCAGTACTTAATGGCAAAAAAGTTGTTGTAAAACAAGTGGAAAGTGCTGCAACACCTTGTTTGCTCATGGCTCCTATGAAAAATGTATTCTGCTCAGCTCTAACCCATGCACCAACAGAACTCCCTCTTTTTTCTTCAGGAGAGGCCATTATTATTGCAAATTGCAATAATGTCAAAATTGCTATGAGACACTTGCAGCAACTGTCAAGGTGGTGCACATCTCAGCTATAGCTATGAGATATCTTGACGAAGAAATAATAGTGTCAACATGTCTGTACATGCTCCATGATCACAAGGAGCTGCTCAAAGATCACCAGCCTAGGAAGATCACTGTTATTCTGTGGCACTACCTGGAACTTGTAATGAAGGAGAATCACTGGAAGGCACTGATACATTTTCTGACAAGCCAACATCCATTGGCAGTCGAGCACATTTGCTATAAGCACTGGTATCATTGCGAGAATATTCTGAGAGATCAGTATGCATCCTACAAGAATTCCAGAGGCTCACATAAGAAGGTTCAGGCATCTGGTAATAAAGTTAGTATAAGTTTGAGATTCAGGTCGGTTTCACTGTGGAACAAGAACCCAGTGAAATTCATCAAAGTTTTCACCTCTTTAGCAGAGGTATTTCACCCCTAAAGACCCGTGAATTTCATGAGGGTGCAGTGATTTTCACGGTGAGGCACAGTGAAAATTTTCACATACAAAACATACATTTTCACCTGGCTTCCAGAGGGTGAAAATCACCCGTGTCTGGGGTGAAATCCATGAGCCAAAAAAAAAGAATTGTAGGTCTCCGACCATCATTCAATGAATGATCAAAGCTCACTGACTAGGACATGATTGGCTTAGTTGGTGATTAGCTTAATTGAATTGCGACATCAGGAAAAAAATTTTAGGAAATATCTCGCCGGCTATCTATGGAGAGACAAATAGCGGTTTATAGCCGTAGTAGCACTGGCCACAGCTTTGTAGCTCTACAGTGTCAACAGTAGCTTCAAGCGAGCACTACAGAGCTCACCATACCTGCCAACAAGTGGTACATTGAACTATATATATTCGTAAGTAAGCTATGTTGTAATCTGTATTCTCTGCCGCCTGCTAGATAAGCCTGCAGAAGCTAAGAGATTTAGTTGTGCCGCTACAAGTTGAACAGCCTACAACGGATGAACTCCGCCAAAAATATTCTGTAAAGATAATGAGGCTTGCAGAAATGTAGAAGTCAGTTACCAGCTTCATATAAACATAATGGCCTAAGGTCCTCGGTCATTGTATTCAATTGAGCTTCAGTGTTTCACATGCTCCGCTTGCTCACCAGTAGACCACAATCAGTGTTCAATTCACATACATGCATTCCGTGTAACACCTGATTGGGAAGGATACGGACTTGATGAAAGATAAAGCTTGAGTGCTTGATTAGTGCGAGTGAAATCCTCCAAGAGCGAGTTGATGCTGATCATGAGTTGAAGGTGAAAGAGACAAGTCATTCAAACTCTGCCTGATGCAATGTCGTGCACCAAAATGGCGTGATTTGATGGCAACAATGGTTGGTTGGCAACTCGCCTCTCTCTCTCTTTCCCCCACCACCCACCCCTTCCCTCTGCCAACAATTCTCTTCCCACTCTCGAAACCGGTCTACTTTGTGTCTCATATCAATCCTATGTGACCCCATCGTCCTACGTCACATTCTCGGCCTTTTGTGGCCACTTTCATCTGTGCTGTGCTGCATGCCGCTGTCTGTGGAGACTGTGCATTGTCTTGCACCACCACTGCTGCTTGTGACCGTTCATCTGACCCTTCTCTGATATTAGCTGTACAGCACCCCGATGATAGACAATTCAGATGGACAGTAGTTGGTGAGTCCGCATCGCCTTTGCGGAATACAGTTGCTGATTTGTCCTTAGTTACAGTGTTCTCGCCGACTCCCCCATGTTGTCTGCTTGTTTGTAGGTAAGTGATCATGTTCTCTATCCACCTGGGCCGCCGCCTTACGCTTCGAGTTCAAGGTTACCGATGTCAACGTCTCGGGTGTGTGAATCATTTGTGACCATTGATGATGGTGAGTACTCGACTCCCCCATCTTGTCATCCTTTCTGATATTTTACTATCAGTCATACTTTTGTGCTATTAGTCGCCACGTCTGCGGCAATGGATGATTTCGTACAGGTTACCGGCATCTTTCGATTACATGTAATATTTATTTGAATCAATAAATGTTTTTTTTTTCTTTTCTTTTCTGTATACTGGAGCATAAATACATTGAGCTATGAGCACTATAGGCTGCTATGAACCTCTATTATGCTATGCATCTACGCGTCTATTTTAGCCACATGGATTGCTACAGACGGCTTTGTAACAGTCTGTAGCTGACCCCTTCAGCTACAAACCAGAGACATAGCTATTTTACTATCACAGCTATTCCAGCTTTATTGTGCTATAGAGCCAAGTACTTTTTTCCTGATGGAGTTAGATGTCAGAAGGCTTAGAGTTGTCAGTAGTGGCATAAGCATGCAAAAGCTTGGTATACTTCTATGAAAATATTAGGTAGTGACCAACAAATTTATGTACCTTGTTCAAGACACCGGGAAGATGGGGTGAAAAACCAAATTCACCAACCTTCTAGATGAAACATATTTTCACCGGCATGCCTCTTCGCAAGAAGGGATTTCACCCAATCCTCGCCTTGTAGGTGAAATTTATTTTCACTGTGGAAAATGGGTGAAAAGTGAATTTCATCGTCTCATACTGTGAAATTCACTGGGTTCTGGTTCCACAGTGTTTCAGTGTTCACCGCTTCGGAGGCGGACTTGTCGATTTTGGAATGATCAAACTGGATCAAACTCGAGGTTCAAAGCGTCCTCCAAGCTCAACAGCGACTGAGGGCGAAAATTGAACCAAAATTGTACATCTTTGTTACAGATTGTTGATGCGTATTTGGATGATTCGTGACTGATGTGACCTCTCTTCTTTGAACTGGACCTTGACTCAAATACCCCCCCCCCCCCCCCCCCCGCTATAATTGTTTTGGATCTCAGGCTATTGAGGGTGGTCTTCTGCGCAAATTTCACCGTTTCGGTCCTCCAGATGGTCTTTGTCCTTCCTGAGCTGGATTGGATTTACGACTAGCCAAATTCCATGCATGACTGCAGCGCACGAGTCGCCTGCCTCTGCCTGTATCTGGTGTCCATCCACCAGTACAGTGAAGGGTGGTATACAACACAGTCGGACTATATGGTACGAGAGAATTTTTACAAAGCAAAACAACAGGCAATGGCACAGCTATAACAGGGATGACAATTTCTCGACACTAGAAAGCAGGGGCAACTGGCCCGGCTGGTGACGGAGCTACACGCTACTCAGGATATTTGTCAGTAAATCGACTGCTTTGTTCTGTCGGCTGCTCACATATAGGATTCTTGGAACAAATTGCCGTTGGACTGAGCGCGGTGGCTGGTAGGGTGTACGTGACCTGTAAATTCCGTGAGACTGAGAAAATACGGTATAAATTTCGGTTCTTTACGAGTCGGGGAGCGAAGGGCCTCGATGACCTCTCTTGCCTCTTTCATAGCCTTGAATAACTTGTGTCGACGTTCCTCCTCGATGATGCGCTAATTTTTTTTTCAGAATTCAGAAACTTCGTCGATCTTGGCTACGAATATGCTTACCAGCGTCGAGATGTGAATATTTTCCACCTCTTTCCTGCACTTTGTGATGCTCATCGTAATCCCTCTAATATTCTGAAAATATTTCTTCAAGGATCTGTAGCAGGTTGCTATACGGGTCGAAAGGCCGTTATCGATCATGGCGTTGGCTTCGAAGAGCGGGGACACTTCGCCTGCATCCAACATCTGGGATTGGATCTTGGAAGCCGAAAATTTTGCCCTGGAAGCAAAACCGTGTTACTCGTGTCTTGTCGTAACCATGAACATGATACAACTTACTGCAGCAAACGACTCTCGACGTCCAACAGCTCGACGTGGTCCCTCGCACAGTCCGATTTTGCGCGTTTCAAAAATCCCTCGGCGACCTTTATCCCATCTTCAAGTCGAGCCAACTTCTTGGAGGGAAGGTGGTAGCAGGCAACATAAATCGCCAAGGATGCGCACGCGAGGCCCAGACATATGTAGCCGAACATGTTTCCTGACACTAGGGATAGTGCACTGAATATAATTGAGGAATGCAGGGTGGATATGGCGTCGCACATCGTGATGTGGTGGAGTGAAAGAGATCGATATGATGTGTATGTGGGCGGGCGGAAGGTGAGATGTCACTCACTTTATACCCAGCGGCCACAAATAAGAGCGCTGTCTACAATTCCGAAAACGGATATGCAGAAGGCGGTGCAGTGACTGGGCGTTAAACAAGCTGGCCGAAACACCGGTCTAATCTAAGAACTTTGGCCTCGTTCTCGGATTGCACCCGGCATTTCAGCATTCTCTTAACCTCGGTGACCGTGTCGGTGGTGAACTGACTTCCTGCAAGTCAGGACGGATACTCGAGCCCTAGGAACGGCGCCCCGGCTGCAGGAGGACGACGACTGCAATCATCGCTTGTGGCATGCGCCTGACTTACATGAGGTCCTTTTCGGCTTCTTTTCCATCACCCAACGCCACAGCGAAGGTGAAGTCCATTTCAATGGAGAAAAACTTCCGATCCCGCGATTTAGGTTAGCTCCATCATC